GAAATTAGAACTTTTGTACCTTGCTGGTAGAAATGTAAAATAGCATAGCTACTTTGAAAAACAGCTTGGAAATTCCTCAAAATATTAAACATGGGGTATTAATATGACCCAGCAATTCTACTCCTGGGTAAATATCAGAATAAAATGAAAACATACAAAACACACAGAAACTTGTGCTTGACTAGTCACAAGAGCATAAAGTCAAAAAGTGGAAACTACAAGTTTCCATCAACTGCAGAGAAGATAAATAAAATGTGGTATGCCTATATAATGAGTTATTATTTAGACCATAAAAAGAAATACATCACTAATATACAAAACCTAACATTATGCTACATAAGTAACTGAACCTTGAAAACATTATGCTGAGCAAACGATGCCAGTCACAAGACTGTATACTGTATGATTCCACTTCTATGACATATCCAGAAGAAGAAAATCCATAGAGAAGAAAAGAGATAAGTGGTTGCATGGGGATGGGAGGGGATGTGTGGTTAGGATGAAGAATGACTGAAAATGAGTTGGGAGTTTCTTTCTGGGCTAACATGTTATAAACTCAGGTTGTAGTAATGGCTATATTAAATATACAGTATTAAAGTCTTTAAACTATACTTCAATTGGGTGAATTTGACTGGTATGTGAATTACATGCAGTTTTTACTGTTAAATTCTTAGCCCCTTATTTCTTGTAATACATTATGATACTTTGTATTTCATTTCATTTCAAAGTAACAGGTTACAATCCCCTATATTCATTTTACACCAAGGTATTGGGTCATGAAAAGCAACTTGAAAAACACTGCCACAGAGTCCTATAACACTAGAATTGAAACTCACCATCATCTATTATGAAGATGAGTGTATCATACCACATATCCCTGCTACCTCAGTTATCAGAAAAAGTCCAACTTCCCTCGTCATCTATTATTCTCAGAATTGGCGTTGCCATGAGGCTGAATACAACTTTCATTTTATCCAATTCCTTATCCCTCCTATTCCTTTACTTGGCCTTCTGAGATTCAAGATCCATAACTTCTAGCAAGCAAACTTTGCCAAGTATACTTCATCTATCTTCCCACATTCATCTAGAACTTTAACAAGTGGTTCACATTATGACATTATGTTTCTTTACCCTGTCACCGTTTGCTGATTTCACTACTCATGCAGGCTGACCCCTTTAAAACTTTTGTTTGTTTTGTTTTTGTTTTTTGGCAATGCTGGGAATGGAACCCAGGGCCTCACATCACTGAGCCACACTCCCCATTCTCTTTAATTCACTGGGCTCCTCAACTCTACAGATTCACCTCTCAATTCTATCTTATCAGCCAAGATCATCCTGGACCTTACCAATGCAGTAACAATTACCCTTATGAAATCTCTCTCAGGCATCCCACTTTGACCATCCTTCAAGTTCACTTACTCAATCCTCCAGCCCCAACAATAACTCTGAAATTTCTAGTGCTTTTAGTACAGCACATCCTTACTTCATCTCTCTTCCTGTTCATGTCAGAGTCCATCATTCATTGTTACTCTTCCAAGCACATTCTTTAAAAGACTTATTTCCTTTCTCCCCTTTTCCTTCTCTTGTAATGACCTGGTGTAGTTTTGTGTGCCAACCTGGTTTAGTTATAGTGCTCAACTATTTAATCAAACATAAATCCAGGTGTTGTTATGGATGTATTTTGAAGATGTGGTTAATACCTACAATCGGTTCACCGTAAGAATAGATTATCCTTGATAATGTGGGCAGACCCGCAATCAGATGAAAGGCTTTAAGAGGGAAAATAGATTTCCTGAGGAACATGATATTCTGCCTCAATAATACATCATTAGCTCCTGTCCATGAGTTCCCAGCCTGCTCTGCACATTTCAGAGTTACCAACCCCGACAAGAGCAAATTCCTTGAAATCTCAGTCTATGTAGCCATCCATCTATCTATGGGTTTTACTCCTCTGAAGAACTGACTGCTAAGCCTGGCAAAACCTCACCCTGGATACACTCAACTATCTGATCAGTTAAATAATGCTGCAGGGCGGAGGGAGAGGAAAGGGCAGCGGATCACAAACTAGACGGAATGATAACGGACAATCAATACTTCCTCACAAGCTGCTTCAAACCCCCTCCCCCCGCCCCCCTGCCACTCCCATCCCACTCTGCCCTCATGAATCTCCTGCTTCATTGAGAAAACAGAAACCACAAGACATGAAAGCTAGAAGTATAAGCTTCATCTTCCAAACATCAAGTTTCCTTGGAAGGGCACACAACTTCTCTGATTCCTTCCTGTTTGATGGAAAGTATCTCCCCTCTAACAAGGGTCAAAACTCTTTCTGTGCTCTGCATCCCCTTTCCTGCACATTCTCATTTTTCACTCTCCCGTTTCCTTTACCTACCAACCTATTTCTTTATTTCACACTTCAGAGCTAACTTTTAAAAGTTGTCTATATCTACTGTGTCTGCACTTGCTTCTTTCTCACTTCTTTTTTTAAACTTCACTCATTGCTTTTTAACCAACTTTAATTTGACTTCTTTCTCACTCCCCAACAACTTCCCACATAATCGCTCTGTGCCTGTTTCCCTGTCTACAAAATGGGAATAACAGTGCCTAGGGTCATCATGGGATGTGTAAACAACTTACATATGTGAAATATGGGTAAGCACTAAATAAGTATTAGCTATTACAATCACTAGTATATTTTCGAGTCTTGTTTTCCCTGGGTTCTAATCTTTTGTTTTCTAACTTAACAGTGTGGGCCCATGAGTAGTAAACTGCTTCAGATTTTTTAGAGTACAAGAGAGGTAGGTAGGATGAAAATAAACTATGCAATATTCATTAAACAATGAGATCTCTACTGAATTATAATTTCATAAGCGTGAGCAACCTCAAACCCAAACTCAAACTCACTCCTTCCAACCCTCACCCACTCCGTTTTTTCTGACTTACTGATTTTTGTCAAGATCACCTTTTTAAGCATAACACCTTCCTGTCCATACTCATTCACTTCTCACTTCTATAGATCTTAACTTCTAACTTGATTGTAAGTTCTCTGACAGCAAACTAAGCTACATTTCTGGAAACTGTCTCTGAGTGCTACGCACATAGAAAGTAGTCTATCTGTATTATCAAATAAGAGACAAGGAAGTTAATTACTCCTCATAGTACTTGTTTTGATATTCTGTCATATTCCAAAAGAAATTTGAGGTCACTCTTCTTGTGATTTCTATTTTGACTCATCAGTATTACACTCTCAACTATAACCAGAAATTAGAAAAGACATCTTACTTTCTACAGTTTATCAAGTGAGCATTATTTTTAAAGGCAGTGCAAGACATGTTAAGGATTGGATGCTCCCAGTGTCCGAATGGCAAAAGAAATCCCTAATGAAATGGCTAATGATATTTGCTTCTCTGTGTGAGGATAAATGCATTTATGCTTGTCTGCATTTCCTATCAAGTTACACTCAGATCAGTGAAGGTAGAGGCTGACTTCAGTGCAGATGTCAGGGTCCCACATAACTTACTCCCTGGAGTGGCACAGAGTGGGTTCTCAATGAATACTGTCAGTATAAAGTCAGTGTCACCTCATAGTTTCCCTCCTCAAAAAGGAACAAGAGATTTAATGTGCCATTATACCCACAGAAACAGCAACAGAAAAGTGAGAAACTCTAGAAAATCTTCATGAATTATTATGGTTCATTAGGTCTCTGAAAATTTTACAATATTCAGAGTCGAAGATCTCAATAACATAAAAATGTTTAAGATACAACAGCATTCCATTTTCTTCAAATGTGTTACTTGATAAAGCTAGTCCCAGCTCCTAGATTCCCATTCCTTTCGCTATCTCTCAAAACAGCCTAGGAAAACTTACGCAATTCTCTGAAATAATGTATCAGAGAATGTGGCAAATACTTTCCCTTCAATATTTGTTTTGGGAACATTTCCAAATTTTAAAACAGAGAGGATTACTGGTCCAAATATTAACACAAATAATCCCAGTCAATTCAGATTAAATGAGACTATCAAATTTTAATAAACCCACCAGAGATGAAGAGGGAAACAAATGGCATATCCCAGAGAATTTAAATGTACACTATGCATCAAAATAACTTTAAATTTACTAGGCATTTTGCACTTGTTCAAAATTATATATAGTATGTGACAATCGTTAAGATTTCCTGAATGCCTATATCTATCATCCAAGAAACACCTCTCCCAGGCACTATATATGCATTACTTTATTATTATTTTCACTCAATGGGTAATAAAACAGGTACAAATAAGTTATATAACCTGAACTAGCTTATGTCACATAATTTATTAGATTTGGAGCATGAACAGGAACTCAGGGTTGGCAACAGAGTCCAGGATAGTCAGTTCCTAAAGAGCTGGCAGATTTTAACCAAATCTGATGTACAACTAAAAGGGTAAAAGGACACTCAGAAATCTACTGTATCTGTGATATAACTCGCCATAAATATAAAACAATGGTGACTAATAAAGTTTTCCAATAGCACACATATGTGTGTGCACAATTTTAAAAACCAGAAATCAGTGAAATATGGCCTATCCAGAGATTTTCAGTGGGCTTTTTTGGTGGGAGAAGCCCTCTCATATATCTTTTAAAAGAGCATAAATTCATTGCTCAGATACATCATAAGTCCCATCCTTTATCATAAGCTTTAGGCTAGTGAAGTCTTCATTTTCACATCTTCCACAAAGTCTCTGAGAGTATTTCATCAGAAGGCATAGTGCTATGGAATGAATAAAATCTACCATTCAAACAAGCTTTAGTTTACGGTAAAGTCTTATTTGTTTTTGAGAGTCTGAACACTAAAGAAAAAACAAACAATTATGTCTGCTTCTAGAAACTGCAGAAGTCTAATTTTGATTGCCATTCTATATATTAAAAACAGTTTTGAGAGCCTCAGCTTACAATACTAAAATAAAAACAGTAAATAAGCAACTTGCCAAAAGCTCCAGAGCTTGTTAACAAGGAGGTACAGAATGAACCCAGGTATGATTACTGAACAGCTGTAGTTCAACCTACTGCCCCAATGGCAGGATAGCTCTTATTTGGATACTCCTTTTAAGTGGTAAATTCTCTTGAATCAGGATGCATTTCTGAAATCAAAGTTCAGGCAACCTACATTAGAATAAGAATACAAAGCTTCTAAAAGTTCAGGTAAAGAGTTCATGACTAAGACGATAAGCACCACAGCCCACAGAGTTAGGCAAATGATTCATATCTAAAGCTACATGGTTATGACTTCCTTGCACTACATGAATCAGAAAGGCAGCAGCCTTTGACTTGATCAGAGACCTCTAAAAAGGTGGCATCTTAATCATACTTCTACACGTGCGACAAAGCATCCGCGACAAAGCATCTCAACCATGTAAATGACTCAACTATGTCAAAACTCAACCCACTGGCAAAGCAAAGCAACAAGAAGCAAGCTTCTATTCAACAACCTCATAATTACCACTAGGATAATTTGTGACTAGTCATTTAATAACAAATTACTTTAAGTTATTTCATTGACTAGTATCCTCTTAAGATTATTTCCATAATATCAAGCATGGAGCAGATAGTTAAGGTTTAACTGTATTAATTTTGTACAATTTATTCTTATACTAATTTCTTTTCCAAGACACATTTCCCTCAGGACCTAAAGAAGTATGAAGGATATAGTTTCCTATTTTGCCAGGACAACTAAAGAGTGTCCCTTTCAAACTCATTTAAAAAACAAAAATATAGTTTGGTGGAATGACTGACTGCTATCAGGTATGGGAGTTTCTTCTTAGGATGATGACAATGTTGGAATCATACAGTGGTAATCAATGCACAACTCTGTGAATATATTAAAGACAACTGAAACATACACTCTACAAGGGTGTATTTTATGATGCAAAAATTAAACCTCAAAAGCTGTCATTTAAAAAAAAAAACCAAGAATTTAGAAACAAAACAACACAACTGTAGTTCTGTACATACACTGACTGAACTACTCCCAAAGGACTTGTATCAATAACCCTTACTGAAATCTAACACACCTTAATTAGGAAAAGCAATAAAAGTTTGGTGTCTCAAGATTTTCATTCCCTTATTATTTCTTCATTTCTACTTTATAAATAAGCTTATCTGGAATTTCTTCATACCCAAAACAAATGCTAATAATGTATTTAGTAATGGAAATGAGCTACAACTTGTATAAACTGAGTTTTAGATTATGCTTTGTCAATAGTATGAACACAAGCTAAAATATTGAGCACAAGTTAAAGCTGATATTAAGCATTTCTAAAGTATTAGAACTTAAAAATTTGTAATAATATATATAAACAAGTTGTTTCTTTTGTCTATTTTCCTAAAAAAAAAAAAGTCACCAAAAACTTTTCAAATAATACTCCCAGAAAGACAAATGCAATCATTTTAGACTCCTACTTAAATACCACTGTCGGTGTCTGGGTGTGTATGTACAAACAAGCTGAAAAATCCCTTATCTAAAATGCTCAGGACTAGAGCTGAGCGCCGGTGGCTCACTGCTGTAATCCTAGTCTACTCAGGAGCCAGAGATCAGGAGGATAGCGGTTCAAAGCCAGCCTCCGGCAAATAGTTCTCAAGACCCTATCTCAAAAAAACCCATCACAAAAAGGACTGGTGCAATGGCTTAAGAGGGAAGAGCACCTCCCTAGCAAGCATGAGGCTCTGAGTTGAAACTCCAGTGCTGCCAAAAAAAACTCAAATAAAATAAAAATAACTTGCTTGGGACTAGAAGTAATTCAGATTTCAGAGTATTTTGAATTTGCAGATTAGAGATGCTCAATCTGTATGTGTATACATACATAATACACCCTAATTTATTAATCATATTTTTAAAAATCTAGACAAGGTTTTATTTTAGGACAGTGAATATAAATGATAAGGCAAAAACCGATACTGAAGTGACTCAAATGCCCCTGTGGTCTGATACGAACTGATCATTTAGCCATCTGGAAGTGACCATGAAGCCTTCAAAACGTCATATACAACCTTCAAAGTTTTCATTTTAAGGTTTGGTTTTAAATGTTATCAATTACAAAGAGCTGTCAAGCAATGCAACATTTATTGAACACTTACTATATTCCAGGTAGATGGAGGAGAAGCAGATGCAAGACAGGCCTGCCTGTCTTGAGATGCGACTGCCTCAAGGAAGTCTCATTTTGGTTTCCTGATTTTGTCAAACAAGGCACTTGTAAGCATCTGACCTCCTAGGTTTAAAGTTAACCACAGCAGGGGAATCTGGGATAACCATTACAATAAATGACTGAAAGACTGGAAAAAATATTAACAATAAAAGCAGCTGTATATTTAGAGCAACTCTAACTCTACCTTCCCAATATAATACTACATGTGAAGTTCCAGATATACTCCTAAAGCATGGTTAAATGGCTGGTGGAGTGGCTCAAGTGGTAATAGCACCTGCCTAGCAAGCTTGAGGCCCTCAGTTCAAACCCCACTGCCAGCATTAAAAAAAAAAAAAGGTTAAATGACATGGAGAACACCTTCTTTAATATATATCCCTATGTAATCATCCTATTTAAAGGTACATCTATTGTATTTCAAAGTATCTTCCATCTAAGGCTATTTCTCTTTTCCTTCAAACCTCTTCAATCTGGATACAGTACCGAGCAGTTGCTAAATGAATGAATGAAGTAAACAGATGTCCTAATTGCCAAGAGGGCACTTGTTAGATGGTTACCTCAAAACACAATGGGCTGACAGACCACAATTCTACTGGGAAGATCACTGAATTTCACAAGTAAAAATAGTCACCACTGGACATTGTTCAGTACAACGTAGTCAACATGTTGTTAAATTCACGATCCGAATGAAAAACTTCAGGAAATGAGAATGTTTAAGTGTTCCTTACAGTACTTTAAAATGAACTTGGTTCTATCATCTCTGGATGGGGAACACAAGAGCAAGACAAAGAGCCAGCAGGGTGGGGTGAAAAAGTCAAAAGGTCATCACCACCGAGCGACCCTCAAGAAAAACGCGCGCCGACCACTGAAGCTCCGCCCGGGCTAGACACACACCTCGCGCCCAAGCCACGGGCCCTGGCTCTCCCTTCAAGCACAGGGCTGGGAGCCACCCCAGCCATTCTCGGCGCTGCTGCCTGCGTTCGCCTAAAACGTTAGCACAAAGAAACCACCGAGAAACAAAACCCGGTCTCCGTGGGCTCGGGGCGGGCGAGGGGACCCGGCGACCGGGACGTTCTCCCGGTTCCCCGCCGCCCGGGGAGGCAGCCTCCGTCCGACCTTCACCGAAGTGTTTCAGAACTTGCCACCCACCCCCGGCTCCATTTTCTCCTCTCTACGTGGAAACGGCCCCGCGCGAGGAGGGCGCGCGAGGACGGACGGGCGGGCGGAGCTCCGGGTGGCGGGCCGGGCCAGGCGCGGCCGGGAGGCCAGGGTCCGCGGCCCCACGCCCCCTCGGCCGGCCTCCGCCTCCAGCCGCTATTGTTCCCGCGTAGCCCCCGCCCGCCGCGCTCCCGCCCCCGCTCCCGGGAGGGGGTCACGGAGGAGAAGGCGGCGGCTGCACAATAACATAAACACGGCGGGGCCGCTGGCCGCCCTGGCCCTGCGGAGCCCGACGCACTCACCCGGCAGCGGCGCGAACAGTGACAGGGGAGCCCGAGGCAAGGACCGGCGCCGTCCGGATGGTCTCCGCTGCCGTTACCCAGCACTGCTCGTGGCTCGGCGCTCCGGGCCGCGTCGTCCGGCCTCGGCCACTCCGCTGAGTAACAGGGGCGCGGGCCGTCACCGCGCACGCCCGCCCACGTCATCGCGCAGGGCTCCGCCCCCGCGCCTGCCGAGCGGCCCGCGGGGCGGGGCAGCCCCGGGGCCCGGATTGCGGAGGCGGGCCCGCAGCCCGGGGGCGGGGCCACACTAGCGGGCCAGGCGGACTAGCCGAGGTCGCCTGGAGGCGGAGCCGCGGGCAGAGCCTCGGAAAGCGGTGTGTGAGGGGCGTAGCCGGGAGCGGGAGGGGGCGGATCTTGCTCTGGCACGTGGCGGCGCGTGGCCCCGGGAAACAGCTTCTGGCTGGAGGCCGTCAGCGCCTCAGAGCCTGAGCCTTCAGGGCTTCTTGCCCCAGGGTTCAAAGGTCAGGTGGCTTAGGTCAAACCCGCTGGGTCAGCAGGCACACCTGCCATGGCGCACACCTGAGAGAGAGGAAGATTTTTCTTTACTTTGACAACATGTGCATGCTGAGGATACCCTTTGGGGCTTTAGCCACCTACAGGCTAATAGTCTCTTCAGCTCCCTAGAAAAAGCTGCCTCCTGTTTTTCCCAAATCCACCTCCTTCCAGATTCCTGACATTACCTGATTTACCACTAAGGCCCCCCGCCCCCTGCTTGCACAGACGTTAGCTATGGACATGATAAATTGGGCGGTGGAGTGGCTCAAGTGGTAGAGCGCCTGCCTAGCGAACATCAGATCCTGAGTTCAAACCTCCAGTACAGCGTCGTCCCCCCTCAAAAAAAAAGTTAAAAAGAAGAAAAGGAAATTATAAATATCCAGCAATAGGTGGAAAGGCATTTGAATTACTCTCATCCATAGACGACATTTTAGCACTTCAAAGCCATGTGTTCAAAGAAATTCCTACAGACATGGGAAAATGTTCACAATATATCACTAAGAGAAAGAAGCAAGAAACATATAGAATTATTCCACTTATGAATGATATTTATGTATATAACTATGTACATAGAAAAAAACCTGGTAAGAAACATGTCAAAATACTTTAACAGTGTTTCATCCTTGGACTGTAGAATGAAGGATGAGTTTGTTCTCTTCTACTTTGGGTATTTCAAAATACTTTAACAGTGTTTCATCCTTGGACTGTAGAATGAAGGATGATTTTGTTCTCTTCTACTTTGGGTATTTTCCCACGATTTCCAAAAGGAATAGTTATGTTCACAATCAGAAAAGTTGCTTATTAAAAATAAGTTTCTTTAACTTTATATACTTAAATGAAAATAGAACAATGAAGCCTGTTGAAATTGTTTTAAAAAGGGAGGAGTGGGATAAGGGAGAATGATGGAGGTGGTAAATCTAACCAAGGTACATTGTAAGCATATATGGAAATGTCACAATGAACTCCCCCCCATACAACTAATATATGTTAATAAAAAATGTTTTTAAAAGAAGAACTAAGTTACTTTAATAATAAATGCATAAATACTTGTTGAATAAAGTAAATCCAAGTAGACTTTTTTCCCATTACATGTGAGGCTGCACAATTTCTAGTGATTCTGAAATAGAACATAAGTAAACATTCATTCATTCATTCATTCTCTTCCCATTCCTTCCTTTCCTCTCCACCTTCTTTATTTCTTTCTTCCTCTATTTCTCCAATAAATATTTGTCACATGCATGTTCTCTGCCCAGCAGTGCTCTAGCACTGGCAATACAGTGGAGCTTTCAGACCTAACCACTGTCATATGAAAATAATAAATGTAAACAAATGCAAAACTATCACTGTTATAAATCAAACCAGTAAAGATTCACAATATTATGAAGCTACTTGATATAACTAATAAGGCCAGGAAAGGTTTCCCTCAGGACAGGTTTGACTAGGCAGAGATTATTTCAGACAGAGGTGACTTGATGTGCCAGGGTCTTGTGATATGAGAGAGTAGGGTAAGTTGGGCAAATTGAGGAGAGGCCAGCTTTGTTGGAAGACACAAGAAGGAACTATGGGATGAAAGTGAGAAGAATAGTAAAGGAAACAAGCCTAGAACAGCCATGTCGAAAATGGGTGTTTTTTTTGTTGCTGTTTGTTTATTGCATACTGGAGCTTGAACTCAGGGCCCAACTTGCTCTACCACTTGAGCCATGCTCTCAGTCCTTTTTCTTTTAGTATGTTTTTCAGGTAGGGGCTTTTTCCCTGATCTGGCCTTAAACCTCAATCTTCCTATCTTTGCCTCCCAAGTAGCTAGGATTACAAACATGAGCCACCATAATCTGCTAGAAAATGTTTTTATACTAAGTACAATGGGAAACCCCAGCATGTCCAGCATGATTAGAATGACATCTTGTAGAAGAAGGCCAGGTGGATATAAGATTAGTCTAGTGAACTTGGTCTGAGTGATGGTCATGGAAATAGTAATGAAGGGATGTGAGAACTATTTAGGACACTGATGTGTGAAGGTGCACATTCTGTAAGTGATGTATGGGGTCAGTGAAGAAGAGTCATCTAGGAGGGCTCAAAGGTTTCTGGCTTGTGGGCAAGGCTGTATATTGGTGCTGATTCACCAACATGCTCATCTTGGAAGAGAATCATGATGAGTGGGAAGATCATGAGAGTAGATTGGTTGGTTGTTTCAAGGTTTTTGAGATGCCCCAAAGAGATGCTAAATTGGTGTGTGGATAGACAGAGCTAGATCCCAGCTAAGGAAGAGATGAATCATATCCTTGAGTATGGATGAGTTAGCCCAGGTCTGAGGAAAAGAAGACAGTAAGCAAGAATTAAAAAGGGCTTGGGAGCCAAGCCTAAGCAACTTCAGCACTGAATGGTCACAAAACAATACTTTTACTTGAAGTTATAAGTGATAGCTCTTCTTTGCTTCCAGTTACATGCAAGAGAGAGACAAGTTAGTCAAGCCAACAGGCTGAGTACATACCTATGTGTTCATGAAAAAATCATTAGGATTTACTCCTTAATATGGTTTGGACATGACTTGTCCCTGCCAAAACTAATGTTGAAATTTGGTTGCCAGTATAAGGATGATTGGGGTCATTAGTGGATTAATATCTTTCTCAAGAAACCATATTAGTTCATGAGAGTGTGTTGTTATAGTTGTTATAAAGAGTCTGGCATCTCTCAGGTACATGTGCTTTTTCTTTTGCATGTATCCACTTCACCTTCTGTTCTCCTCCATGAGTTAATGCAGAATGAGGCCCTCATCAAATATGGCCACCCAACCTTGGACTTCCAAGCCTCCAAAACAAGCTTATTTTTCCAGCCAAAATAAGCTTCCTCAGTTCACAATACCCAGCTACTGAAGAGAATCAACATTTATCCTCTAGAGAAAAAGATAAAGAGAATTGAGTGGGAAGGAAAGAATACATTGTTAAAGACCTGTAAATGATAAATAAAATCACCATTTTTTAAAAATGATGCATATTTCAGAAGAGGTCTTTTTGCCAGACCTTTCAATATGGACCTCTTGTCCCATCTATAATTCTTCACCAAGTATTTCTTCTCATCCAGTAGAATTTTGCTGTTTATAAGCTTAAAGCTATTGCAGAACATTTGTCTGGGCCCCATGGTGGAGGGAAAACAGCACTTCATGTCTGGCTCCTTTTTCTTGGCTTTAGGGAGGAGCTGCATCCCCATCTATTCCTTTGTTCCTCTACTCCTTACCCTTCAGATGTCAAACTGGAGCTCATATTAGATGGACAGACATTCCACATTGACCTGTAACAGAATTCCCAACCTTTACCCAAAGTTCTATTGCCCCTATTCTAGACTGAATTTGAAAAGACTCATTATGGTGTCATTAGGTAACAAGAAGGAGATTTTGGCTTCCCTGGAGTTAAGAGTCATTGTCTGTGGTTGACAGGATTTTCAGCTCCTCAGAAAGCAAGTGATGCATGTCCCTGTTGCTGCCTTGCCAAAAGTCTCTAACTGAACAGGGTTTGTCTCACCACCCTGATTCAGAAATGAACCCTGAAGCCCTCTGATGCTAATGAGAAGATACTGTGCCTTCTGGATGGCAGAGGTTAAAAGACAGTTTGTTCTATAGTGCAGGAGGATAACTACAGCTGACAACAATTAATTGTATATTTCAAAAGAGCTAGCAGAGAGGGTTTTGAATGTTCCCATCATGAAGAAGTGATAAATGTTTGAGGTGTTATACCAAATACCCCAATCTGATCATTATGCATTGTATACACTATTGAAATACCACACTGAAACCCATAAATATGTACAATTATTATGTGTTCATTAAAAATTTTAAAAGCATTTTTAAAAAGACAATTTGGTAAAGGAATTTTCAGCAGCTCCTTAATTATTCTGTTCCAAAGCAGATTCCTGGACAATAACAGCTTCTCTTATGAGGGTAGATTTCATTGCCTCTCTTGCTAAAAACATGCAGAACTTATTCTAAGCCAAAGGTTGATGTAGCTGGTCAGCCTGCCCCAGCTGGTTGGGGAACTGTGAAGTGGGTGGAAGAGAATAAGGTTTCAGGACTTGGGAAAAGGCAGAGGGAAGTACCCCAATCCTTTAAGGTGTGATTCTCTTAAAAATAAGGGAAACTATGCAGGAATATAAGTGAGTGCTTCCCAATCCCAAAGCATTCTGTACAGCAGTGGATGCTTGTGGAATAAACAATATATGGCAAATTGGGGAGAAGTTAATTCATGGCAGTGCTAAGCCATGGAGACCACATTAAGGTCTCAAACCCAGACCCCAATATACCCCTCCTCCTGCTCCTTGCAGTATTCTATTTCCTTGAAAAGTCAAAGTATTGCTGGCAGTGTCAGTCTTCGCAGAGCAGACAGCAGGACTTCTCTTTGTCATTGGCGAGAATAATAAAGGATGTCACAATTACC